ATTATCAAACTGACAAAGGCAAAGAAAAAAATGACGTTATAGCACAAAAGTAAGCTAATTTGATCGTCTACAAAGATGCTATGGCTCTTTCACTTTTCGAATCGACCGAACTACGCGGGTCACCATTTTGTTTTGCCCGAAAGTTCTCGCAAGATCTACTCCTCCCCCTTCTCTCTCTCTCTCTCTCTCTCTCTCTCTCTCTCTCTCTCTCTCTCTCTCTGTCGGCAATTTATTAAATCTGCAACCTGCAATTAGATTACAACTAGATCTAGATTCGAGACTTTAGTAAAGGCAGAGTCCAGGGGAAAACATCAATTAAATTCGTGTGGTGCAGATGAGTAAAGAGAGACCAAAACAATCTCTCTATTGCAACTATCATTGCACATCACTTCGCCTAATACATGTTCCGGTAGATTTAACTACCTATTAATAGATGGAAATTTGACCCGTGTCAAAGGTTGGTGGTGGCTGACGATTCGGAGGTGGTTGCGGGTTGACGAAAGGGAAAAGCGCGGCGCCGCGAAGAGAGAGAGGAGGCTCCATTAGTTCTAAGATCCTTGGTTCGGAGTCGACTCCTACGATTCCTGGCTTTCAATAATCGGGGAAACCAAGTCGCCCAGCACTACTAACCATAGTAGAATCTTAGTGCCAATTTCTTTTTGACTTGACTTTCTCCACTATGTTTGGCAAGTACGTCATTAGTCAGTGGTGTAGCACTCTTGACTAAATATAGTCGTTTTTGAGGACAAGAAGGATAACCCAGATTCCGGGGGTTTCCAGAAATCTTGACCTACTTCAAAAGTGGGCCTTGCCCTACCTATAGGAGAAGTTTGGTTTCATTGGTGTGTGTATTTGTTTGGTTATAGATGCAACTCTCCTTGTCTTGAAAAGAAGCTGACCAAGGGGCAAAAACTTTACCTTCGATGTTCTCAAAATAGCTTTTTTCGGGATAGCCCGCTTATGGATAAAAGGGACCAGACATAACCTTCGATGTTTTCCCTTTAGATAGTAAGTATAGTAAAGAGCTTTACGGCGCTCGCAATGACATAATAATATGATCATATGAGCGCGTGAAACACAAGTTGGTTGAATTTATGACAGTATGCAGCTCGACTTGGTTTTATCAAATGGTTAAGTAATAAATTTTACGGTAACAATTTTGTTTTAGAAACAACAAATTACATTTTATTTAAGAATACAACATTCAGAGTTTTGCGTAAAGGTCAATAGTCTATGAGATCGAGAATTCTGTTGGGATCAACGACGGAAAACAAAACTTCGTTACACATACAGATTTTTAAATTTGATTTTTTTTCTGAAATTTCAAAACGCATACAACAAGGAGCTAGAATAGGCAACAAACGCTCGAAAAAGCACTACTGAATTTAAAAAAAATTAAACACTAACTAATAGTAATAGATGTAATTATTGTCAATTTATTTCCTCAGATTCTTTTATATATAAATCTCAAAGTGTTGAAATATTAGTACTATTAGTACACTTATTCATTCGTTCTCATAGTCTATGGTTGTCTGATACGAATAAGATCACTAACATATACTAACATGGGACCTATAAATGGGGTAAGGTAAAGTAAAGTTGTTCCCGCATCCGATCCGGACATTGATTGGGGATTGCCCTGTTAGTGCGACAACTTCCTGGGATTTCGGCATAATATTGAGATAGCGTAGCCAATTCCTTTCCACGCCGTCTTTACTTCCATAATTCGAAGTCAGGTACATGTACCCATTACTGCTGGGGGGGGAGCGTGGGGTGGGGGGCAGGAAGGGGCGAAAAAAATCGAGGTTCGAACCCGGACTTTCCGCTTCGGAGACGAGAGCACAAACCGCCCCGCTACCTCACGGGATAGAAAAAAAATGACTATCTGAGACGAATGGGGAAATGTGATGGGCGTTATTTGACGCTATCTGTTCCGGTTCTAATAAAGCTGACCCTAGTGGCTCTCGGGACCTAGAGGTCAAGGTGTTGGCCTCTCATTCAAAGGTCCCGGGTTCGAATCTAGGTAGTGACGGAAAACTTTTCTTCTCTAAAAGTGTCTCCTTTCACCCCCTTTCCTGCTCTCTAGCAATGTACTATCGTCTGCTGTCGTCTCCACTTTCTGCCCCCACCCTTTCACTTCCTGTGTTCCCTCCCCTGGGCTCCTGGCTCTTCCTGCAGCTTTTCTACTGCTACACATTGGCTCCTTTTTACTGCTGTCTTTCAGCCTCGCCACTGATCTTCTGGTGGGAAAGATCTACACCTAGCCTTCTCGGATAAGGGCGAAAAATCTCGGAGGGCCTGTGAGCACGTTGCGCACGTTAAAGATCCTTGGTGGTCTAAAATCGATAAGAGTAGGCTTCGGCCGCCAAGCGGGCAAAATTCAAACTTTCCTACCAAGTGAAAAAGATTAACATGTCCCTCACGCTCATGTGACATTTTGCCCGTTGCGAGCCTCGTAAAAACACTTAGGCCTATCTAAAAAAAAAAAAAGGAAGTTGACTTTAAACCAAGACGGTCAGAGAACGTATAAGATCGTAGCCTATAGTTCTAAACCAGAAATCAATAAAACGTCACAAACCGTTCTGGCCAGTTTTGCCCGGCCAACTCTAGAATCACTCAACACTAATGAATCGTTGCTGTTTCAACTATTAGAATATTGCGTCGCTTTTCAACCTCATTGTGTCCTACATGACCACTCTGACTGAGGTTTTACTTTATTAGGAGGTTCCCGTGACCAAGAGGTTTACGGTGTTCTCCTCCCATTAAATAGGTCCCGTATTCGAAACCTGACAGTGAAGGGAAATGTTCTTCTCTAAAAATGTTCTCCTTTCCCCTTCTTTCTTGCTTTCTTAACTCAATAGAATGAAACTGAGACTTGTGATGAGTAATAGATCTGGAGATCTAATCTTGATAGATCTATCTAGATCTAAAATCTAGTGTCTAGATCTAAGATAATCTAAAACCAGATCTAAAATCTAGATGTAGTAATACTACTAAACACTAAACTGTTTACTATCATACATGTATTTTTGTAAGTGAAATAAAATGCATGGCATAATAATAGATCTATTCACAGGCCGGCGATTGTTAAGATTCCCTCGATAGTCTCACTAGGCCTGGGCAGGACTTGGACTTGGACTTGAGACTTGAAATTCTCGTGCCCATCAAGTAGTGTTTGAGACCAAGTATTTAGAGCTGAGCAAGTCCAAGTCTTGCATGGCCTTGCAAAATAGATCTATCCCTCAATAAAAAAAATACAACTATTTTAACGCACAGTATATCTTCAAACATTGAGTAAAGACTCAGAGAACCAATGTCTAAAGAAATGCTAAAAATTGGAGTGTTTCTTATTAATTTAGTGCTTTAAGTTTGATTGTTTGAATTCAAATACACCTACCACCCCTACTACTTGCTCGGACTTGTTCGTCCTAGGCGGATTGGTCGAGTCCATTTCTTCGATAAGGGGTAGACAGTACCACCCCTATTACTTGCTAGGATTTGCTCGCCGTTGGCGTATTGGTTGAGTCCACTTCCTCGAAAAGGGGTAGGCAGGCCTAGGCCCGTATAAGGCTTCAATGGATAATAAAATTTTCCATCCTGGGTTGACACAGTTCCTACTTCCTTCCTGGCCAGTTTCAAGTTTCAAGTTTCAAAGTTTCAAGTTTCAACTCCTTTCGCCAAACTAGGCTTGGGCAGAATTGAAAAAAATAGGACTTGTCAAGTCTCAAGTCCTAACACTTTGAGACCTCAAGTCTCAAGCCCAATTTCAAGTCCAGGGGACGTAATAAAGTATACATGTAACATGAATACAATGTAGTCTCTTTGATAGTAAAGCCATCAGCATTACTTCCCTTTATCGTTATCATTATTTTGTTGTTCTCCAACCAACCACCTTTGTTGAGACGTATAGAACATTGATTTTTTATTTTCATTTTTAAATTTATTTTTCTTCCCTTTTTATTTTGTTTGTTTGTTCTGCTCTCTGTTGTATTAATTAACTCAGGAATTGCTTCAGCCTTGGATGGCAATGATGGCATTGAAGCCTTATCCAGGCCTAGGCCTGCCTACCCCTTATCGAGGAAGTGGACTCAACCAATACGCCAACGGCGAGCAAATCCTAGCAAGTAATAGGGGTGGTACTGCCTACCCCTTATCGAAGAAATGGACTCAACCAATCCGCCTAGGACGAGCAAGTCCGAGCAAGTAGTAGGGGTGGTAGGTGTATTTGAATTCAACAATCAAACTGAAAGCACTAAATTAATAAGAAACATGCCAATTTTTAGTATTTCTTTAGACATTGGTTCACTGACTCTTTACTCAATGTTTGTAGATCTACTGTGGGTTAAAATAATTGTATCTTTTTGAGGGATAGATCTATTTTGCTAGGCCACGCAAGACTTGGACTTGCTCAGTTCTAAATACTTGGTCTCATACACTACTTGATGGGCACGAGAATTTCAAGTCTCAAGTCCAAGTCCAAGTCCAGCCCAGGCCTACGCCAAACTCAAGGCGGTACAAATAATGGCCATAGGCCCAAAGAAAATTGGTAGTCGATTAAATCATTGGTGTAATAAACATGGCAAGAACTTTAAAAATAATCAGTTCATTATAGAGTGACCCACTCAAATCCTTGATCTATCTTATCTTACGATTGTAAGTTAAAACAACGACAACATTAATAAGTTGTTATTCCATGTGAGAATTCATTGTTGGGAGTGTGATGGGAAATGTGGCATTTAGAGAACTAATTCCCGCCTCTCTGCTGACTTGCGGAATGTGAGCCGAGTGTCAACAACCCCCTTGTTTGTAAACAAACACTGACACCTTGCTCTCCCAAAATATCCAGGCTTATATAGCACTTATAAATCTGATTTCAATTGGTCAAGTAAAAAGAAAAGACATGCCAAGCGGAGGCAGTAACGCATGGTTATTTTTTTAGAAGACGCCTGATCGCAATAGAGCAATTTGCAACACGTGCAAATGTGTTCTCTCGTGCCCCAATGGAGGTAAACCTCCCCTAGGCTATCCCCCGAAATTGCTATTGGAATAAAGACCGTCGAGTCCATTTATAACAGCCTTGGTTTTAAAAGGCACTTGGTTATAACAGTGACTTTTCAAATCCCCAGGTTTTTTTCCTCTATACGTTTAAGGTGTGAGAACCGGGACAATAACAAGAAAAAAAATTACGCAGACTCGGATAAAACAGGGATCTCACTGCCTCAGATAGAAGTTAAATTGTATTTATTTGTCAAACATAAATTTCTATCAAGACCAAGACGCATGATCCCTTGCCTTAACTGAGTGATAAAACATCTCTCTTTACTATCGCTAGAAGTGAGTGGCACGGCGGCTGTACACCTACACACATTGGCTGGTTGGACTGGACTACAAAGTAGTACCCCCCCCCCCACCCCATACTGGTTGTCTATCTTGAAAATGGATATTTTACGTAGATTTTACACACGTATGTGTCCCAAAGTGGCTGTTTTCATCTTCTCTTAACATGCCAAATTAATCAGTAGATCTAATAGTGTTGAGGGCCTGTGGGTGTATTGTTTTTATTATATTATTTTGATTTTGCGGATGACATTTTCCCTGATAGCAATTATTTGACTCGTAAAATAGCTTCCTCGCTTTATAAGTGGTTAAATCTAGAAATCTATAAGAAACTAAGGGTACTGTCATTATATTACTTTTATAAATGTAGGCTTGCTAGCAATTTTCAATCTCAGGTACATCGACTCTTCTGAAGCATGTGCGAACCAAACATGGGACAGAGTATGACAAAGTGTTGATGGAGAGGACAGAGGCAACAAAGCAAGAGCCCACTCCACCCCCGCGGGCCTCCCCAACTATGAAACAACCCACACTTCATCAGTCTTTTGAAGCAAAAACAAAATACAACCAACACGCTCTTCGGAAACAACTGCTCGACCAGAAGGAGATTCAAATGATAACATGGGACATGCAGCCTCTATCCATCGTTCAGGATGAAGGTACGGCTAGATCTAAAAGTGTTGTCTATACCTTCAATATTTGTTGCTGTTGTTGTTGTTGTTGTTATTGTTGTTGTTGTTGCTGTTGCTGCTGCTGCTACTGCTGCTACTGCTGCTGCTGTTGCTGCTGCTGCTGCTGCTGCTGCTGCTGCTGATGATGATGATGATGATGATGATGATGATGATGATGATGATGATTAATTTTCTCCCCGTTTCCCTATAAATGTCAAATATATATTTATATATAGTATCATTGCCTGTTTCACAAGAGATCATTTCCTCCTTATATCAACCAAAGTATTGGCTGTTTAAAACCCACAGGTTTCCGTGAATTGATGCAGACTATGGATCCCAAGTATGACCTGATCAGCAGACGAACCATTGGACGTCGGCTACCTGCGCTTTATGAGGAACGGAGAACTATGCTTGCGGGACTGCTTTCCGAGACAGGTAAGCAATCAAGTTAAAAGACACATTTGAGTGTGAATAAAATAATTAGATCATCAAACATACATGTAGTACGGTAGTGTGGGTTTAAAAAAAAAAAAGAAAGTTATGAATATTACAAAGGCGCTTTTCTTTACATGTATATCCTCATGAAGGAATAATTTCTTTCGATTTCTTTCTGCAAACATGTCATTTATTGAATAATCAGTAGATCTACCGTTCTGATTCTTATCCAGATGCTGTTACCCTTACCACGGATATATGGACCTCTCGCAGAACCGAAGCATTCATCACTGTGACGGCACATTTTATAACCCCATCCTGGGAGCTGCATGGCTGCGTTTTGGACACACTTAAACTTGACGAGGCCCACACCGCAAAGAACATCGCAGAAGTTCTGTCACAAATCATGGAGTCTTGGCAGATTCGTGACAAGGTGAGGCTAAGTTGACCAATGTCGTTTTTGCTTTTGTTATTCTTCACAGGATTTCACCACCACCAATAAGATACATGAGTAAAAAGAAAATATATGTGGTGGTGGTGGTGGTGCTGCTGCTGCTGCTGCTACTGCTGCAGCTGCTACTGCTGCAGCTGCTGCTGCTGCTGCTGCTGCTGCTGCTGATGATGATGATGATGATGATGATGATGATGATGATGATGCTACTGCTGCTGCTGCTGCTGTTGCTGCTGCTGCTGCTGCTGCTGATGATGATGATGATGATGATGATGATGATGATGATGATGATGATGACGATGATGATGATGATGATGATTATGATGATGATTTGTTTTCTTTCAGATAATGATGATGATGATTCATGTGTAATTTCCTTACGTTGTTTCTCTCTTCTATATATAGGTGTTTGCCATCGTCAAAGACAACGCCAGCAACATGATTGCAGCTGTGGACCTGTTGAAGATCCGTCGAATGCCCTGCTTCGCCCATACACTGAACCTTGTTGTGACGGATGATTTGTCTGCTGTGAAAAGCTTCGAGACTATCCGGCAAAAGGTGAAGAGAATTGCTGCCCATTTTCACCACTGCGTGAACGACACCAATGCTTTGAAAAAGCGTCAGCAGGAACAAGGGGATTCAGAAAAGGCGCCATTGGCACTTATCAACGATGTGGAAACAAGGTGGAATTCTTGTTACGACATGCTCGAAAGGTACAACACTCTTCACACTGAAGTGACCACGTCCTGTGCCTCTCGGGCAAACAGTCTTTGACTGTAAGCGCAACAGAACTGAAGACAATACGGGCTGCCATTGTTGTTTTAAAACCATTTCAGGAGGTCACGACGGAGATGTCTGGGGAGAAAGTGACAACGCTAGCCAAGGTTATTCCAATCGTGAGAGGCCTCCAGTCGCTGATGAAGGACCACGTGAAAAAGACCTTGAGATCCAGAACATAGAAACTTCACTTTCAAAAACTTTGTTAGACAATCTAACTCGCCGCTTTCCGTCGCCTGAGACTGTGTACTCCTGGGCAGTCAGCACCTACCTAGACCCTCGCTTTAAGAGACATGCTTTCAGCGACGCATCAGCTCTTGACCAAGCAAAAAGAAGGCTAACAGGGGAGATGAGCACCCACCAGGAGCAGCCCCCCGTTGAAGAACCCGCCATGGACAGTGAGGCCGAGGGGAGATGAGCACCCACCAGGAGCAGCCCCTCGTTGAAGAACCCGCAATGGACAGTGAGGCCGAGGGGAGCAAATCGGTGTGGGACAGATTTGATGGAGCAATCTCCTCATTCCTGAAGAACACTGCCAATCTTCCCACCCAACCTGACATGGAGCTTCGTCGTTATGCAGAAGCCAGCCCAATCACAAGAAGAGGAGACCCGATTCAGTGGTGGAAAGAAAACCGATTGGTGATGCCACAGCTGGAGATTATTGCAAAAAAGTTTTTCAGCTGCCCTGCCACCAGTGTGCCATCGGAGAGAGTGTTCTCAAAAGCAGGAGAGCTTATCTCTCACCGTCGGGCAAACCTGAAGCCCGAAAACGTGAACATGATCATTTTTCTAAATAAAAATCGCTTCAACTTCAAGTAAGCATTGTCATCCCTGGCCTGATTTCATGAGTTAATAAAACAGTCAGTACCGTAAGAGTCAAACTCCTCTTTTGCTTTTTCTTATCCCCCCCCCCCCCTCAAAAAAATTACAACTGAAAAACAAACAAACCAACAAACAAACAAACAGAAAATAGATTTCCATACACACGTCTCATCAAAGGTAGAGCTAGTTGGCCATACAACAGAGAAAGGGCAGTTTATTAATACAACGGAGAACAGAAGAAAAAAACAAACAAACAAATTAATTAATAAATACAACTGAATAAGCAAACAACAAAACAAGTTCAAATAGCACAAAGATGTTCCTTCCGTGTCAACACAGGTGATTAAAATTGGTTGGAAAACAACAAATTATGATACCCAATAAAGGGAAGTAATATTGCTTTACTATTCAATTATGTAAATACTTTATTACATCCCCTGGACTTGAAATTGGACTTGAGATTTGCGGGTCTCAAGGCTGTGTTGAGACTTGAGACTTGAAAGTCCAATATTTTTCAATTCTGCCCAAGCCAAGGAGTAAGGAGATTAAAAGTAATGGAGGATGCCCTGTGGGCGGCACCGCACGCCTGATAGGAGCCCTCTCTTGCGGCGGAACCGTGGGCTACCTGCGCTGCGCGATTGCCCGACTAAGGCACTGGAATCTAGATAAGAAAGAAGGTTTTATTCCGAGGTCCTTCAGATTAGGCAAGTCAATTAGTAAAAATGCCTTGCATATGTGTTGTATTTAAGTGTAAGAACCGATATGATGCTGCAATGGACCGAAGTTTTCACAGTTAAGTTGTTTCCCTTTTAAAAAATTTGAATGAAAGTGTTTCTATGCCCCCAGCAACACAATTTAAATCATTAATTCATAAGAGGCTGGCTCCGGCGCTACATGTCAAGGCCAACCCAGGCTAGTTCTAAACTCCTTGGCCCAAGCCTATCTCACGTCACCTCTTCCGGGTAAGCCCGATCGTTCCCGAAATAGCGGAGGCCGCGATGCCGATTTCCGGGCCACAGACAGGAAAGCACATGTTCGTTAATCCGTTATTCGAGCCCGTTTCCGGTAACCGACGGAGCAGTATCCGGTTTCGTTTTAATCAACGAAGTGTGCTATTTCTGACGAACTTTATTGATTTTGAACGCAACAATTTCTTTTTGAGTGAGATTCATATTAAAGTAAGGTAAATTTTGGATTTATTGCTAAAACTTTAGTTGATTAGCGGAAACGTTTTAATTATATAGGTTACATAGTGCAACCGTTTTTCCATACCCTCAAGGTTTTTGAAGCCCCACACTGCGATATGGGTGAAATATCAAAACATGCTTTTTGCCTTCCATTACCGGAAGTTAGCTGATCTGCTAAGTAAGGCATCTGTCTCCATGGGAACAATTCTATCATGATCTTTAATTATCATTTATTTGTCAAAGACATCCGAGCAATATTTGCATAAAAAAAGGTGCGATTAATCTGACAATGAGAATTGCAAACTCATTAGGCCTACATCTAGGCTTAGGAGACCTGTCCCCCTCTGATATCTTTATTTTCTTCACTTTTTCAATCACATTCTCTTGTTGATTAATTCCATGAAACAGCCTCAAGTTTAAAATTTATGTTGACGAATGAATGTCTCTTGCATGTGTATTTTTCAAAATGTTCCAGTTTGTTTGCTGGCTAGATTCTCTGGTACAGACCAACATATTATGTTCTTGGTTAGATCTAGATCTAGATCTAGATTCTAGTAGATCTAATGACTAATGTATATCTAGATCTAGACTAAAGTTGGAGTGTAGATCTAATCTAGATGGCGCTTTTTCGGTAGTTCCCACCCCGCATTTGTTATTCGACGGTTTTGGCCCCAAGAGTAGGGGGGTTTCAGGGGGGCTTGCCCCCCCTGACCTAATACAGTAGTCTCCGCCTAAGATCCCGGTGCTCGGGAGCAAGGAAATGCGGGATCTTGTCTTAGGCGAACCGGGATCTTAACTGACGAACCCAGGGAAGAATCTATGGTGAACCATGTTAAGGCTCAATAACGGTAAAATGGTCTCCCTCCACTCTACAATGAACTGACGTTCCCCCTTGGTGGGTTTATGGCATATGGCGAGCAAAGAGTGGTTAACCTTGATGACCTATCACGGTGCATAGTGGCATGAGGCGTGCCATTTCCACTTATTATCCTATCATGAGTTTCAGGATCTACGATTATCCAATTGCCCCTCCTCTTTACCTGTCAAAAATGTATAGCTTTCCATCTCTGACCGAGCCCCCCCCCCCCCCCCCCTCCCTCCAAACCGCCTTTGTCGTTACACACCATTACGTCGGGGACACAATAATTAAAATTCAGTCTGTCTCGCAAATTCGGGAGTAGAGACAACTGCTGCAATGGTCAAAGAAGAGTTCACGGTTCGATGTGATCCTGCCAGGAGCGAACTTGTAGGCCCTACCCACCCAGCGAGTGATGCAAGTTTAGGTGGCGCGCTCAGGTGTGAGTGCGATGCGTGGGAAAAACAAACGTGTCGGTCAGTTCACACCCCGGTGTGATCCCGTCTGGGGCAAACATCGTATCGCTTCATCGAGTTTTACTACGTGTATGTGATCACATTGGAGAAAAAATATCGTATTGGGGGAGGGTTACAGAAGTGAAAGTAAAAACAAAGAAAACAGTTTTCACGGTTGGGTACTGGTTAGATGGGATGTCAGAGAGCTCTTCTGAAGACTACGATCTAACTTCAGAATGGTTGCTAACAGATATGGCAACCGGGGACCTAGTCTTTATGTCGATTTCGGGCCTTCAGAGTTGAGAAAGTAAACCTGTGCAAATTTTTTGAGAAACAGACCAGACATGAAGTTCATATTCTCAATATAATGTTTCAGTTGACAACTGTTTCAAAAATTGGGTGCCAGTCCACCTGACGGTCTACCACAATAATAATCAATTCTACCGCAAATCCCGCCTGATTGATCGCTGTTTACCTTACCTGTTTAGTGGACTCTAGCGATGTGGGTGGTTGAAGGGTGCTCTGGTGTGGTTTACTCTTATAATTGTTTTTATTATCACCATCATCATTATTAAAATCATCATTATCATTGCCATTGATAATATAAAGTTGTTTTTTGTTTTGATTTTTTTCTTCACTGAATGAAATATGAATATAATATTATACATGTGATAAATCACAAACCCTTTCATTCAATTATGGAGGAAAGTAAGTTGAAAAAAAAATACTTCGTAAGTTGAAACTGATGTGAAGATTGAGTCTCTACATCTTTCTTTCCCTTTCTTGCATATGAGGATGTTGGTAAAGGGATGTGACCGTCTACAAAGAGAAAAATGCAATAATTGAGTTTATACATCATATTTCCACTCCTTAAGCCATGAGGAGATTGGTCTTATAAATGTAACTCAATAGAATGATGAAATGAAAACTTGAGATTGGGCATCTCTGCTTTTCTCTTGAAAAGACATGAAGATTGGGTCTCTACATTTTTCTTTCCACCTTGCATGACGATGTCGGTGGTAAAGGGATGTGACCTTCTACAAAGAGAAAAATGCAATAATTGAGTTTATACATCATATTTCCACTCCTTAAACCACAAGGAGATTGGTCTTATAGATGTAACTCAATAGAATGATAAAACGAAAAATTGAGCCTGAGCATCTGATTTCCTCATGTGAAGACAATGGTGGCAATCTGGGGGAGGTAGCTTCAAAATTTATGGATTGAATGACCTTATCTTACCTTTGTTCTGATCCCATACGATCAGCTGCCATGCAGGTTTTAAGGAGTGTCCTTGTGTGACATTTTGTTTTATAAAATATTGTATTTATTATTTAAACATTATTTTACTAAAATTACTTTTTTGTCAGTGTTATTGTTCTTAGTATTATTATGATGATGGTGATGAAAATTATTATTTGCTGTATTCATTGTAGCAGGCTAATTCCAGGTTAAAAATCAGAGATACTGGTTGGTTAAAAGTAGAACCAAACGGGGGGATGATAAATTCACAGACAGGGGATCAGGAAAGAAGTTAAAACAGCACCTTAACTTGGATGGCTGGTGCCTCTATAGACTATATATAAATTATTGATCGTCAGGTGATCGTCCCAAGCCTGTGTAAACGTAGAGGGCAATTTTTATTTAGCATGTAAATTGTAGTAGTCTTTAGTAGACGATTAGAAAGGAATATCGTGGTAGACGACCAAATGGGCTGATGCAAACAAATTCTCCTCTCTGCTCCAGGTATAAAACAGTTAAGCACATCATGCTCCTTGTATAAAACAGTTAAGCACATCATGCTCCTTGTATAAAACAGTTAAGCACATCATGCTCCATGCCATGTATAAAACAGTTAAGCACATCATGCTCCTTGTATAAAACAGTTAAGCACATCATGCTCCTTGTATAAAACAGTTAAGCACATCATGCTCCTTGTATAAAACAGTTAAGCACATCATGCTCCATGTATAAAACAGTTAAGCACATCATGCTCCTTGTATAAAACAGTTAAGCACATCATCATGCAAAAATAAGGACAAACTATAACCACTACAATATTTTTTATGCGGCCAACGACAGTCCCAAGCCTGTGTAA